GTTACACATGGGGGCAGTTTGACAGAAGATAAAGCAAGCCCGCAAACAAGTTTGGCCTCAGGTAGTCGTCCTCAAACGTGCCATCAGCAAGAATATCGCGGCAGAAATGCTCTTGTCAAAGGAACTCGTGTGGACAAAGTGTGTTTCAGAAGTCACCGCAGCGCCAAGCGTACCAATATAGGACTTGTTTGTTGCGCATAAAATCCGTATAATTACTGATATTACACCTGATTGTCGCGAATGCCGAATCACCGTGCAACATCACAAAAGTTGACTGAATACATCTCGGCGTCCCATATGCCGACGCCATATGTGCTGACGTCACATGTGCTGACGTCACATGTCAACGTCGCGTGTAAATGTCAATGTCCGCGTGTCAAAGATGTTGAGGATACCACAAGTTGAGGTGTTAACCTAAGAAATGGCCAAAGGCTTTGGAAAGTAAGAAGCTGGGGACAGAGGCAGCTGAGCCCCTCCCGCCAACTTTCTGAGAACTTGGCGTGGACTCCATGAATGCTGAATGGAGATACTGATCAGCAGTGGTCATCGCCCTCCCCCCCGACTGGGAATAGATTCACCGGCTCAGAAACTATTACCTTAAAATAGCAGAAATGGCCCAGGTCTCTCAGCTCAATCGAGACCAATACAGTCGCTGGCGCGCCTCGAGACAGGGTGCGGCGGTGTGCGGCGCGTTCTTTTTCTTATAAAAAGCGCGCCATTGTCAAAGTCGTCAGTGCTTGGGTCGTCAAAGTGGCGCAGCCGTCAACGCCATACGAATTTCAACTCTAAATATTTCCGCATCGTCAATGCAACCGGTCTGCCGCGCCAGTCGCAGGAGCCAAGCCAGGACGAGCGCGCGCAGTCCGCTTCCGCCGCTTCCCGTCCCCGCCCGCGCCGCCGCTTTCACCGCCCCAGGCCGGCGGATCACGTGCAGAGGCGGAACGAGAAGATCGTGTCAGTCAGCTGGCCGCGCTGATTACGTCACTGGAGCCGCGCGGCGCATCTGCCCCAGCGGCGGCGTCGGTCCGCGAAACGCGGACGGACGGGCGGCGCAGAGGTCCGGACGGCGGCCGGCCTGAGACCGAAATGGTCTGACGACTCCCAGTCAGCCCAGCTGCGGTCTCGTCTTGTCTGAAACTGGTGCGCTCAGCTGACGGTAGCAGGAGCGCACCGGTAGAATGCGGCGCTCTTGCTGTGCTGACATCAGGCCGTCATGGCCGGGCAGCTGAGCAACCGTGGCGGCGGCTTTCCGAGCAGCTGTCCGCCGCTCCGAGATGTCCGAATTCGAGCTCGGCCGATCAGTGCTTGACTCTTTCCGCTCGAATTTCCAACGGTGTCCGGGGAGCTTCGCTGGGTCGAAAAAGTGCGCTGGCTTGCTGGTTTGTCACCTACGGTGCGGAGAACTTTCCTTTGCGCGAGATCCGGGCGAGGTCACTTTCAACGCAGTGGCTCGGCGACCTCACCGGTAATCATCGCGCGCAGACCACGCGCGGCTCCGCACGTTGGGACGAGGTGGGGGAGCGGGGCCTTTACGGTGTGGGAGGGGTTGGGGAAGACATTGCTTTCACGTTCGTTCCGCTACATGCAACGCGAAGTGAACTTTTGCCATATTGGAGAGGGGCGGATGTCCGCCCATCTTTCTTCGCTGTTCCCGTTCCACGATGAATCATTCATGGTGGATGCTGCAATCCTGGTGCAGCTGATGGTACAGGCATCTCGCTGCGCCCTTTACAAGGCTGGTCCGTTTGGTACCGCTTGTGTTGACTTCACATCAGCGCAATGCGGCACTGAATAACAAAAACGGCAGACATTGTAGTCACGCCAGACCGCAGACCACCGGATGGTGATGTCTGCCTGAACGCTCGAGGTCATGTTGGAGTCGGCTGCGCTGGTGGCCCGCTCGTGCATTCCAGGTCATTTGTGGAATATATATATATTATATATATATATATATATATATACATATTATCCCCCTCTTTCTCTCTCTCCCTCCCCTCCCCCTCCCTCTCT